GTGAGAGGAAGCTATACACACAAACCCCTTTTTTGTTGCTAGCTGTTATGTTTTGCATCTGTCATTATTGTAGTATTCTATACTTGCTTCTTCTCGTCCTCCACTTTTATTTCCCTTGGAATACGATTAGAGCTCCCGTACGGAGGAACTGAGGGAGCTCGTACTGTGCTGGGCTGTATGGATATTACGCGAGTAGGTATATATATATTAGGGGTAAGTGTACCTATCTCCGTGCTCTGCCCTATTACCGTGGATTTTGAAAAACTGATGATTACTTGCTCAAAATAAGAAATGTTTCATATAAAATAATTTTTCAATTTTAATAATCTAAAATGACTTTTATGTAGATGCAATTCAAACAGAAATATTTGTGTATATTTTGAGTAAATAATTATTTTCCACGGTATTCGGTACAACGCGCTCATTAACTGATTGTGTACGTATTTCCGCGGTGAGCGTACGTAAACATAACCCTATACATCCGCGGTAATACGTACACGGTAATAGGTACACAACCACGGTAATACCAGCATACCGTTTTTATTCGTTTTAAAAATATTCTACTGCAGTTTTAGCTTCATAAAATTTTTTTAAATATTCCGTAAGAGATTATGTAAGATTTCAAAAAAAAAAATATTCCAAAAAATTTTAGTATACCATTTTTTATGGTGCATTTAAGTTGGAATTTTCAGTACGTGCCACTGAGATAGGTACACTTACCCCTAGGTCGTGGATTGGCACTCGGGAGACCGTGGTTCGATTTTCCCGGCCAGTGCGACTTTTTTGGGCAAGTAGGTACTCCTGTGAATTTTTACATGTGCTTTTTTACCACGCGATGCTCCTCGAGGAGGGTTTAGGCGACCTCCTCGCACCATAATTGCCTAATTTTCCCTTACCTTCCTCTCAATAATAGGAGGCCTCCCATCCCTTTCCTTGTCCCTTTCCCAAGTGCTAAGTGCCCATAGTAGTGTCCTTATTAAAGGAGCCGGACGTAGAGCACTATAATATAAAAAAAGGTATACATATATAATATGTATACACCGTTGTTTCTTTTGTCGAGCTCCAACTATGCGTTATACATGCAGTTGCCTCGCACATGATGACATATACATGATGTACTACGTACACACGATATGCTTGCGTGCAATAGTAACAGTTGACCTTCTTGGGTGCCTACTATGTTCATCATTCGAGCAGAAAAAGGCAAAGGGCTCGATGGTATGCTGGTAATTTTTATCTAGGTATTAAAAAATGTAACGAAACACCCGAAAGATTTGAAACTTTGGGTGCTTTTACTCTTGAAAATTACAGGAGCGACGTAAGCATGAAAAAATTTGACGTTTTGAATATTCCTAAATATGCACTTTTTTGCTGGTTAGAAATTTTTACCTCAAGACCAGATCTATTTTTATGAGTGAAAAGTCCTTGAATTTGATCATCAGCCCGGGGAATAAGCCGAAAAAAACTGTAAAATATGTGGAAAAGCGGCGGAAGAGCATCGATTTAAAAAATCCTTGCTGTCCCGTTTTTGTAGACGTTCAGGAACATTTATCGCCACTAAACCTAGCATTGTCTCGAAAAATAAATTATTTAGGGTGGTCGTATCCCTTCAAAGCACCCCCGTAAATTGCAGTACTAAAAACTTGTGTAACAATTTATTATTTTGTCTTTAAAATGGCCTCTTGACGGTTTCCACGCGGATTCGGGGTCCATTTGTGTGCAGGGGTGGTCTCCCCTAACAACAACCTTTAAGTTCGCAAAATGTTGAAAAATTCATTGTTTTGGCTTGAAAATCATCTCTTGGAGGTTTTCGTGGTTGCTGATCACGAATCCGAATTTCCAAGCCATAATATTGAATTTTCCAACATTTTCCGTAGCTGAAAATGATTTTTAGGGGTTGAAGCCACCCCTGCTTTGCGAACAAATCGCTTAGATAATAACCTGGAGCCGTTGCGGCTTTTTTCAAGCTTACCTGACTTAATTTTTCACTTTTTATGTGAGATTTTAAGGAATAGTTAAACGAAATTTACGTCATACTACGTATGTGTGGTTTCTTTTCGGATTACTATCATAATACATCCATCCATCGAATTTAATGTACTGCCTGATCAACTTGTGGACGTAAAACATGATACACTTATCCCTATTTGCGTAGACAGCTTAAATTTATACGTAACATGAATAGCCTACTGACTTCTGAGTCGAGCACAAAATGACTTACAAAAGATACATCGTGTTGGTTCAAGTGAAAAATTTAAATTATGACGTATAATATTCTGTGAATCAACCGGCACACCGAAAAATAAAAGAGAAAAAAAAACATGACATAGACGTTTGTTATTCTAGTGTTTAATCTTCACCCGAAAGAGATACATTTTTCAAACTACCTTTCAAACAATCGTAAAATTTTCATGCAGTAAGGGATCGCACGAAAACTTTGTAATTGTTTCAAATGTATATTATGCACTGAAGTTATTAAATTTTTTTTCGTATCACATTCATCCCTTTCACTAATACACACGGTACAAAATTGATATTCGTGTATGAAAAATTCAATGTTGCACGGTCGCAAGAAAATTTTTCCAGTAATCCAAAAATATTGGCCCATCTGAACTAACTATCGGATATATCGTCAGTATAAGGCAAACTATTCACACTTGTTTCGGATTGAGCGAACTGTATGCGAAATGAAAGCGGCGCCGGATGAACAGAGCCGCTCGTCTCAAGATCACGTCTCAGACAGATCAAGACTTAGGAAAAACAATGATTAACAAAACTTTTATTTATGAAAGCAGTATAAAAATATGATATGTATTCAACAGTGCGTCTGGTCACCAGCTTAGCAAAAAGTCACACAATTATACTGCAAGTGTACATTTGATAGTAAGCAGAACGAGAACCATTTGTAAAGCTGTTGTTGTGCGTAGACTGAAAATGTATTTGATAAGCCACTTCACAAGGTGAATATACAATCTTTTCATAAATTATATAAGTAATTCGTGGAAAACTGCTATTCAGAGCAGTACTTCATTCCCTTACGCTTTGTTTCCCTTTCCAGCAACGATCGCTCGTGAATAGCCAAACGATAATAATAAGCAGTCAGATGAAGTTATTTATACAATACAAAAGTAGGAAGCAAAATGTAAAGGTAGAATTCCAGATACTTAACGGTAAGGCTCCGTAAAAAAAGATAATTATTTGTGTATTTTCATCTGACTCCTGACCATCGTTCTAGATTTCTGCCAATTCATTAGCACGAAATTTCCTCATCTTTTTTTCGTAATTTGCGTTATTGCGAGTTTAATCTATTTCTGATTTTTTTTTTTTTTTTTTCACCCAATAAAGAAAATTTGTAATACATAACAGTTAGTCCATAATATTATTCATTCACAGAGCTTATTTTTTCAAATTTCATCAAAAATTTTTTGATCTGTGAGAGTTTCTGTCGTGTATTATCGTAAAACAAAAAAAAAAAAGATATTTCAAAATTAATAATTAGAAACTATAATATTCAGTAATCAAATTATTTATGACGTTTTCAAGGGCTTTCGTGTATAAGTATACAGTGTACAGTAAGGCTCTTGACTCATCGTGTGCTGTGAACATTCTGAGTTAGTGGAATCGACAAAAGTTATGAATCAAAGTGAATCGTATGAGCAATATATAAATAAAGAGATTTGTATCCAGTTGAAAATTAAATTAATAAAATACGTAACTCTGACAGAAAAAATTACAGTAGAATAATTTGAAGCTTCAACCAATTTCATGTTAATTAAGTAGGTGACAAATAGCCCAAGGTGATGTCATTCTCCTTTTCACAAAAACAAATTCATTTTAACATATCTACCTTTAGCATATTTCGGCCTTATTATCCACCCCTCGACATAATAACATAATTGTAACCTTGTTTGTCTTTTTAATATCATCCTAAAAATTTTCGTTTGTTCCCATGTAAATAGTAGCCCAATGCTGTTGTTGTACGTAAATCTTTTTCTCGTAAATGGATCTTCATACTTTCAACTGTATTCCTTCGATCCCATTAGATAACGCCGATTCATATACCCCGTAACTTGTCATAATCCAACAACTTTTGCTTTAAGTGGAGTTTCGTTAACAGCTTACATATTCGTTTCGTATCTTAAAGTGTACATTTTTGAACAATTTTTACAGGTGTCTCAATTGAAGAAAGTTAAACATAAAATATTAAATAGATGGGCAAACAAATAAGCCGAGGTAACAATTCAATTTTTTTTTTTTTTTTAATGTAGGGTATAGTTTAGCATCGATACGATTCAAATAGAAACAACTTGAGCTTTAATCCTCAGAACATACTTTAGCTCTGGATTATGCCAAAAAGTGTAATTGTAAAAAAAAGTACCCTTTTAATTAACCACATTGGAAAAGAATTCTTTATACTCAAATTTTTAGGTGCAATCAAGTCGATATTACTCTGAAAACTATTTGGCCTGTGCATCTGACAAATATTATGTATAGTTTAATGCTTATCTGATGCGCATTAAGAGAATTTTAAACTTGGAAAAAAAACTTGAGACAAACATTTCTTTAGATACTTTGGAACTTCCCGAAAAAATTTTAAAATGTAGCTGGATGGTTTAAACGATTTTTAAACGCCTGTAAATCTCCGTGAGCCGTCGATATTTGACGATAACAACGTTCAACTAATTAACTTGCCACCGCACAATGACTTTACCTTTCAAGCATTTCTTGAGGAATCGGAAAGTTGTGAAACGAAAAATGAATTAAAATAGAATGACTAAAACGTGACGTAGACTGCTTTTCTTTCTTGCAAAGTAAAAGTAAAAGATACAAACCACAAATGATAACCGTCCAAAGGGTATCACCATTGCCTAAGAGTAAGTACGTGATACGTTAAAAATATAGGTGTGCTCAAACAATGAGCGCACTTTCGAAGAAAATAGCAAAAAAGACTGACAAGCAAGACTTGGAAATGCCATCGAAGCTAAAAAATTTTCACATACCTTGATTACGTGGCTAAAAGTTGTCCCACGAACAACGTGGATATGGCTATACGGAAGAGCGGTAAAATCAGCGGAGTGTTCCCAAAAATAGTACTTATTTCTACCTAATTATCTCTTACTCATGATCGATGCACAGTCCGTCAAATCGACGCACTGATTTCACACACGTGCACACGTCGATAGTTATACAATGACAGTGTCATCACACTCACTTGAAATTCGATCTGCAAGGCACTGTATATCCATCAAAATGGGCAAAGGCTAGCGGTTTGGCTCGAAAACCGCAAAACCGAGAGCCGTCCTTGGCCAGAGAGCACTTTGAGGCCGGGGAAAAAAAGTGACCAAGTCGGCACCGGAACGACCTTCCCGATCGTTTTGTTATGCGTTACATCAACCGAGGAGTGTCATGATTTGTTACTTATTTTCTTATTCTGTTTGATAGAGGTAGAAAAACCGATCAATCAAAAAGCGTGAAGCGGAAAAGTAGTAACGAACGTGCGGTGGCTTTAAGTATTGTATGATGCAGCCGAGCCAGACGTTGCCAGTCGACTGACGCGGTGCTTGTTCGCGCCCCGGCAATGCGGCCTCTCTCTCTCTCTCTCTCTCTCTCTCTCTCTCTCTCTCTGTCTTGCTACTAGGCATATGATATACAAGTAAGTACGCGCCGGGATCTCTACCCCTCTCATGTAATGTATATAATATATGCTCTCTATATCTCTCGTATCACTATTCTCGTGCTCATCTTATTGTTCTGCTTCTTCGCTCAAAACTACTGTTTAAATTCACGGTGCTGCTAAATTTATTTGATTTAATAGTTACCAGGTTACCACTGGTGATCATAATGGTGATGATGATGACGATGATGATGGTTTTTCCACGTACCTTCGATTGAACAGCGGACGATACAAGAGAGTACTTACATGTTTGCGCTTTTAAACTTCAACGGCAGAAACATCGCTAAAGTCGTTCAGCTTTTTGAGCCGTTGTAGTTACTTATTTTAATTGGAATTTTCGTTGCGTTACCGATGACAATGACGATAGAGTAGTAAAAGAGGAAGTTACAGTCATTGAGGTGCCTGATTTACAGATTTTGTGGAGTAGAGGCGACGTGTATAAAATTTAAGGGAGTTCTCTAATGATCAATAGAGTGTGTGACAGTTTAGTGGCAGTCTTGTGCATACGAGGAAATCCACAAAAAATATTCCGTTTCTGTCTCCTATTTTTAAATAAAGTTTTTTTTTAGGCCCATCATTGAAATCGGGCTCGTTTATTTACTCGTAATGCCATTTTCAACGAGTAAAATTTTTAATACTGGTTTCAATAAGGGTGACACTCCTTTAAATTTAAATGATATTATTATTATATGCCTACGTATTACCAACAGAGATATTGTTTTAGCATGTAAATCACAGCAAAAGGATGTCACCCCCACTGTAACTCATGTTCATGATTTTTCTCTCATAGAACATTACATTGCGCGCAAAATGAGCCCTATCTTGAAGGAGTAGCTCAAAAAAAATTTTATTTGAAAATCAGAGACCAAAACAAAATACTTATTCCTTGTGGACTTTCTCACATATAGACGTATAAAGATAATCGAAACAATTCTTGTAAGTAAACGATTCTTTGAAATTAAAAACTTCTTTATTTTATTTCAAAAATCCCACGAATATGATCTTACACAGTAAATACAAATAAAAATATATTATTCTAATTATTGAAAATGCTGGAAAATTTAAGTTACTACTGTTAAGATTATAATGGAAAGCTGATCTCTCACTTCATGGCTTCTTTATTCGTCGATTTTGACGCTGCCATTTTTGACCTCGATAAATGTTCTACGACAGTTTCATGATGCCTAAAATTGTATTGATTTGAAGCCCTTAGAATTTTGCTTCCAATTCGCCCTCTTGCGACTATAGGCATGGTTAAAACTTTTGTGACCTCTAAAGGCTGTTTTTTGTCAATTTTGCTTATTTATTGCTTTTGTTACTAATTTTTCAAGATAACAACTACACTAAAACTATCTAGAAAGTGTCGAGAATCAGTATTATGCAAAATTTCAGCAAAATCGGTTCAGTAGTTTTCGCGGTTAGCGATTACAACGGTTTTTGCGACTTTGCTTTACATATTAGTAAGATAAGACGAGATATATGTCCTATTTGAAGGATGTTTATTAAAGTTAGTAGCCACAAGTGCCGTTTAAAAAAAACTTATATTATTTCATCACAAAGGAACAGAAGATCTTTGAAAGCGATGTGTCCATAACATAAAGTTTAGTTCTGTTAATAGTAATGTTTTAATAGTTATTACTATTACTTGTTATCTATAAATAGTAAAATTAAAAAAAAAGTAACATTTATATGTTCTACGGTGTATCATGAGTTCTAATATCCTGTCAAATAATACTCATGACACCACGCAACACGACGAAGCATCCGCGTGTCCATAAAACTCTATTCGACGCATGTACTTACTACACTAAAATATTGACAGAAATGACTTTTATTACATATGAAACTTTCAGACGTAAAAATTAATAAATTGCAATTATATTATTAAGAGACGTTGTTTGAATATGTTTTGGCTAAAAATAAAAAGAAAATTCTGCAGATAAAAGTTTACGTAAAAATTATTTGTCAAATCCAAGAACAAAATTAAATATTTTCAAGCATTGCAAATTTTTTACATAAAAGTTATTTACACGTTGATTGTCATGCATCTTTATGTGAGCTTTGGCACTTTGAATACCACTATTATTTCCCATTGTAGTGTAAAACATAAATCAGAATCGACTTAAGTTACGATTATTCCAATACCTATTGCTGTGCTACATGCAAAACGATTAAGTTTTACTAATACTACAATAACTGTTACTTTGAAATTCAATGAAACAAACTTCATCTTTTAGGAGAAATTTTATTTAAACAAGTTAAAGTTTTGTTAAATACATATTGATATTTGCCAGATCCTCTAAAAATGCATGAAAGAATCTTTTAAAAAATGTTAATGCTAGTATAGAAAATACAATTCGACAAACTCATAGGCAAGGGACGCGAGGGATACGTGAGTGCCTTGTTATATCTTTAAATACATCGAATGGATGTTATTGCAAGAATTCCTCTAAGCAAAAATATTATTCATACTAGCTGTAAAGTGCAGTAAAAATTAAATTTTGTGTTATCCTCCTCTCATGATTTCCAACAATTTCATGTTATATGATAGATTCCTGTAAAGTAAGAATTGACAAGTACCCTGAGTATCTGTTTTTTTTTTTCGTGATGAACATTCAAATAATCTTATTAGTATGCAGGGGTCCTTTCTTTCTGTAGACTTTACTAATAACACTAAAGCCCCACTACTGAATTTTTATGCAACTTACGCTAAAATGCCTTACCGATTGCCGAAATTTCGCAGTAGAAACTTTACCTCCACTTCCCTTCCCCCATTTGAATATTCGTCCCAACCATCGTAGTTCAATTTTGATGATCGCTAATATAAGCACATCACGTTGTATTTTTAAGAGAAAAAAACTATAAATTTTATCGTGCTTGTCACCGCAAAGATTATCGTACTGACGGTAAGCGTGGGACAAAGTAACATCACGGGAGTTAATTTTTATAGTAATCGTATCCTTTTCCATGAAATAAAGCCAACACGGCCCAACAGTGACCCAACGTTGGAACCCATTATTGACAGTACTGCTCGCCAATACTGATCCGTAGTTGTATAGTTGTTGAATGATCATATAGGTCCAAAATTTACCATACAGTACTGGTTAAGTATTGCCAGCTGATATAACCAAACAATTTATTACTGGATTAATTTTTCTCCATAAATGGTATTCATAACAAAGATAGCACTATTTTCTCTAATTTTTGTCATAATTTCTTCATCGCTTTTGTGCTGACGTTTTCGTAAATAAGTGTTGAATACGAAAGCATTTTTCTGGTTTCAGGTAAACAAACTTAGGTTATTTTTTTCACTTTTCTTTCTTCTCGTTGTAAGACGAAGATTGCAATGCACAATCGTATTCAAGACTCACTATAATGAATTCAATCGAATTATTTGTTTCAATCACTGGAATATGTTTTAAAATATATGCTATATACCGAATTTTTATGTCCCGCACGGAGCGTGTGCTTAGACTACAGATAGTTGAAAACAAATTTGATATGTAGGATTTCTTGAGGTTGGAATCGTTTCTCTATAAGTATTGACTGAGTATCGGCAACGTATACGGCAGCTACTATTATTTGATAGACTTGGCTAACAGTTCTGGACCAATACAGTTTTTGAGAATTCGGTCCAATATGATTATTTCGACATTGGCGGGAGTATTGACCAACGCCTGGCATACAATTACCAGTTTATCAGTAATTCAGCCTTATTGTCAGTCTTGGTAATTCTTTAATGGATTATTTAACTCCAAATAGGACTACCGTCCAACGGGAAAAAAGGTACAAGTGACTTTTTTTGTCGAAAATGCGTTATTTATACCAATCGATTCGTCAGACAATTCTGTGTCTAATAGAATATCTACAAATTAAATATCTTATACCGTGATTTCGTAATAATTAAATGAAAATTGGAAAAGTTGCTAACAATTTTCGTCAGCGATCAAAAAAAAAAAGCGTAAGTGACACAAAACGTGGAAATCAGGCCAGGCAGACAACGTAAGTGCACTTACCCTTTTTTTACGTTGTAAAGTTGATGATTATCGCCTTGGATTCCAAACTAGAAAAAGGATAAACCCAATGGAATAAGCTGTATTTTTGCACTTACCCTTTTTTACAAGAACATTGAGCCGAGTTAAAAGGGTAAGTGCAGATTTTCATAGTTCCCATCGAAAAATCCTTTTTCTTTTGTGGAGAATAGAATAATTATATCATATTTACATAAAAAATACCCTGGTAGAAAATTACTACATAAGCTGGCTAGAAACTCGTCAATGCACATGCGTAAATGGGCTTATAACATGTTGACGAGTTTCTAGCCAGTTTATGTAGTAACGTTTCTACCAGGGCAGTTTTTCCGCAATCCAATACTCAAATTATCATTGATTTTCTCAGTTCATCTCTCATGTCACTTATACCTTTTTTTTCCATTAAAATGCAGAGTAGTTAACAAAGGAGAGTGTATTTTTATGCGAATGTCAGAAAAATATGTACGTAGTAAACGAATTTTGTCATTCAAAGTAAGGATGAAAAAAATCAAATCAATATTTCATTTCCGTAAAATCTGCAAATCTTTCAATAGCAATAATAGTAAAGTTTTTCTTTTGCCATATTTTATAGTTAACTTCATAAACTACAAAATAAAGTATACCAAACTGTTCATAGTATCAAAATAATTTACCAACGAACATAAAGTATATTATGCGCTGCAAAAGAAAAACTCTGATAGAGCAATTTATAAAGTTTCAAAACAAACTTTTGATCCATTTCAAAAAGTTTACTCCAATAACGGAATCCAACCTATAGTAAACCACGACGTTGCAATCGAAAAGTATTGGGAACCATCGTTGCCG